TACGGAGTAGGTGGGAGTATGGTTGACGGCAAGGGCCGTGCCTTCTCGAACGCCGTGAAGCGGAAGCATTTGAATTACGTGATATTCCCTCCCCCCTCCGTGTGTCGCTGACGACTGACCATTTCCTCTGGTAAAGTCTCGGAGTTGGTAGTTTCTTGTCCTTTTCCACATTACATCCACTTAATAATATTGTAATTTCTCTATCTTTTGATTACTCCGGTATTTCTCAAGGATAGAGTATATAAAATCCAAATCAAAATTCAATTAAATTTGTTAAATGAATCACAAATGAAACACCTTAGAGCATCACGGACCTAAAGTTTACATTTCGGGTATTGAGAATTACACATTTTCTCTTTAAAATACTCATAACTAAATTATTACTCTAATTCATATATGTGTATTCCCATTGTTTTTTTTTGTTTGTTTTTTTGAGTGTTCATATGAACACTTTTGCATATAATAGATCAACCACGGGCTACAAGAGTATGACCATAGCATATCAAACTTTGACAAATATACAATGTGTTTAGAACAAATATTTTTAGACCATATGAAACCAAATTAGTTCAAATTAAAGCAAATCAGACATAAATAGATTAGACTATACGAGAACACATTACGCTAGAAAATTTCAATCCAAAAAACTACGGAGTATTAATTAGCAAACACTTTTTGTTGCAAATGTAAGAATACCATATACGTAGTATTTTTGAGAGGAAGTACCATATAGTTATGAACTGACTAAGAAATCATCATTTTCATGCTCAGATTAAGGTTTGAAGGGTCTTCACTTTATCACTCCAAAAATTAAAAATCCTACGTAGAGACTATATTAAGAAGATTAGTGGAATTGTGACAGAGACAAGAGAACTGTAGTGAAAATCCATATGCCATCGACGCATTCACGCATTTTAATTTTTAAGACGATACAGGTTTGAAATGAACAGAAGACGTCCTATGTGTACCAACAGGAATGGATCGAGGTTGGAATTGGGCCATGAATCCAAGAGCCCGTTTGGAGACCCCTTTTTTCGGCTTATCAGGCTTATCAGCCAGTTTTTTCACCAAACACGTAATTTTTACTTTCGCGTGCTGAATTGTGTAATAAGCACAAAAAGTAAGGTTGGAGTTACTTTTCTGGCTGTATTGGCTGAAGTTACTGTAGATGACCATTTTAGCTATTTTTACATGTAATTTTTTCTTTATTTTATTAATAAAATATATTTTTAAAATATTTTTTTCTAGAATCAGCAGAATCAGCCAAAACAACCACTTCAGCCAGAACTTCATAAATTTCAGCAGAAACAGCCAAAACAGCCGATTTTCGTGCTACCAAACGGGCTCCAAAATGAAACACTTCCTAATGAAAGTGGTGGAAACTCTAAGATTATTTCAAAGTGGTGGAAACTCTAAGATTATTAGGGATAATCTTATTGATAGCCCTAAACTTGGAAAATCAAATAACTAATTTATTATTAAACGATAACAAAGATACAAGAAAATGAATAGCCTAAGGCTACAATGGGATGAAACATAGAACGTAACAGATCCAATGGATCCTTTCAGATTGTTAACACCCGCAGTAATGTAGCCTAGTCTAACAGCTGTGCTGCTCTTCTTGCTATTCCAAAAAGAAAATAAAAATTACAACTAAAAGATCCGGCTTCAACAGCCACCGGAAAGGGAGAATTGGTTTGACCACCAACCAACAAAGAAAAATCAGTCGAGCATAAAATATCTGAAGCATCGGTTTGACCAACCACCGAAAAGGAGATCCAATTGATCATCTTCTTCTTTCCAGAGCGAGGCGGTGGTTCAAGTGGTGGGCGAGTATTTGAAGCATCGGAACAACAAGGTTGAAAAAGCTTTACCAACCATGAACAACGAAAATTCACCAGATCGGTTACACCGATTAGAAACGCACAACCTCTAGACATTGCTAGTAGAATAACATACCACACGCTCACATGAAGTGGACAAAATTCTCGGCCAATGAAGAAGACGGACCAAAATCCTCGAAAATAGAAATTAAAAAAGAGCGGAAACATTGAAAAACTTTTGATTCGATCTTTCACTGCATAGAGAATGTAACCATCTTCCAAAACTTTTTGCTGATTGAAAAAGAAAATGATGAAAATCAAATCTTGAAAGAGGACAGGGATGGCCGCCTAGGGTTTCCCCTAGGGTCGGCTCTCCAAAACTCCCATAGATATTCCTGTTATCATACAAGAAAAGAGCAAGTTATAGTCCTAAACTAGTTATTCACGGTCACTACATAATTATTAATAGGAAAATGGGTCAAATAAGCCCATGTACTATTACGAAACCGTCAGATACACCCATCTACTAAATAAAGTGTCACAGCCACACACATACTCCTTAAAAACGGTCATACAGGCCACATGACCGGCCGGTGACTTGGAATTCTCGGTTATGTGCTTATGTGGCTTGTTTTTAACCCAATCGTTTCTGGTCTGGGAGTGATAATGCTGATGTGGTTTATTTTGGCTGACCTGTATGCATATCATCAACATCGTATGTCTAATTCGTAGTTAGGGCTATTTTTATTTCGTTCGAACATTCAAGCTTCCATGGCCGAGGACGAGGTGCCTGATTCAGGATTTGGCGTGCCTTTGGTCGTCTCCTTCACTGAAGTTATTTCTCTGTACTCGTAGTTCATTCAAGTAAGTACTTATCTGCAAGTTTAATCGACACGGACCTAGTGAGAAAGTGAGAATAAGATACAAAGTATAGAATCAAGAGTTAAGGGTGGACCTCGTTCCAGAAACGGACTGAATGAATCAAGTTGATTTTTTACAGCTAGCTTCTTCTGAAATCTCATTCCCCACCTCGTTCCAGAAATATAAGCTTGTCATTAATAAGGCGTGTCAGAGTTATTTAGTTTCATAACTGCTCAATAGTTTTCTTAACCATGTAGATATGATTATGACGCATGTCTGTGTTGAGATTTCAGAAGAAGCTTACTGTGAGTTCCCCACACAAATAAATATAAGCTTGTAAATGTTTTGTTTCTTGAACCTAGTGAGAATAAGATACAGAGTATAGAATCTTCAAGCCCCCCCCCCCCCCGCCCCGCCCATACCTGGAACTGGCCAGTCCATAAGCGATCGAAATCAGGTTTTGGCCCACCTTAGTTTCCTGTATAATTCTCCTGAATTCAAGATTTGTTTTTATGCTTGTTGTGAATGTTGACATCACTGGTGTTCTGTTTACACTTAATATAAAATCCATGTTTACACTATAAACTATGGAAAGTAAATGTTCCAGCATTTTGACAATATGAAATGTTTGTATTTGTAGAATGTTTTTGGAAGCACAGGTAAGAACCCCCTAATTTATATTCTGAATATGAAAAAAAAACGAGGCAATAGGTCATGAGGTCCAGTCTAATATGAAGTGTCGTTCATATAATCCACTTCACAATCCAAAGACTTAGAGTGTACTATGTTGTTTGATGATGGGAGCCAGTTCAAAACAGCCCTAATCAACTATGCAGTGGAAGTGCTGCAAAGTGAATGTCAAGACTGGCTTCACCATAGATGTGCAATATGTGAAAAGAGGAAACCCGTTTTTTTTTATGTAATATGATGTGTACTAAACATGGGTATGAATGCCCCTTTGGTCATGTAATGTATGTTTTAAGTGATGCTTGTTTATTTAGACATGTAATGATCATGAGTTTAACTACCCCTTTTGTCATGTATTGTTTTAAGTGATGGTGGGGTAGTTAGATGTATTTTGTCATTGCTAAAAATGCCCCTATTTTGGAAATGTAATGCAGTGAATTTTGTTGAACGTCTTGTAATGCAATAAAATACATTTGTTAACATTTATGAGTTCACCTTTTGAAGTTTGTAATTGTTGTTTGAAATTTCAAATTGTAGTTTATAGTTCTCAGTTGCTGCAATTTGTTTTTTGAAACACATGGATAAATGATATAGGGAGAGGTTACACTTCCCTCCCATCTCAACTGTGATTATGATGGTCTGTATTGGAGTGTTTCAGGTTTAAATGAAGACTTTGTTGCATTGGAATAGATAGTTGGTGAAAATTCAGCACCAAAAGATAGTTATGACCAACAGGGAGGTGTTGGTAATCAAGTAAAAGCTGATATGGAGGCTTTGCAGGAAGAGATTAAAGGTGTATGGTCCTTGAGAATGGGGAATAACAGCTATGGCCCTTGTCAACGTCAATGTTGTTTTGCTTCCACTCCTGGAAGAGTAAGAAAAAAATGATGGGATATGCTAGGGCTGAGCAAAAAACAGAGTAACTGAAGCAAAAAACGGCCAAATCATATGGGATTCGGTTTACTATTTAAGGATCATCCTTTCATAATCAACCGAGATGTGTCAAAACCAGCTAAACCTCACGCTAACGTAATTAAAACAGACTCAAGTAATTTAATTTGGTCCTCAGATTTGCATTTTATAAAACTGAATGACCAAACCAAAAAAAATGAACTCCGCTAGGACATGTCATTCCCTCCTTCCTTCCTTCCAGATCACCTATAATTTTTGGGGGACATCAACCAATCAATAACTCAAGAAAATATTGATCCTCAACAATCATGTAATCTTAACTATGAGAGAAATCTGTGATAGGATTACCAATGTCATCCTTGTAATTTTGCAGACACATACAAGCCATTTTTTCCCTATAACAAATTCTTTCAGAAGACTACACTTTGGAAGGTGGGAGTGGTAATAAAGGTCTCACCTCAGGTGTGCATTTTTTCATGTGAATCCACCTCAATTGAGCCAAACTGGGAGTGAATGCAGATCGTTGAGGGTTAAAGTGTACTATAAACAACAATATACTTCATGAATCTCAAGTTAAAGAAAATCCATTCATCTTATAAAAAACAAAAGTAAACATAACATATGGTTGCACAATTACACATAGGACAAATCATTTAACACACACATCCAGTATCCTTTATTCATTAAGAATACAACCAACAAGGCTAACTACAGAGCTAAACATAAGATGTTTACAATGCCATCAGTTTCATCTCTGTACTCCTACATACATGAAAATACCCATTGCTACAACCACAACTATCAGAACTCCTATAGAGTATCTAAATCTTTTATTTTCTTCAATCTTGCAATGGAGAGCTGCTTTGACATGAGAAACTTCAGCACAGATGTTAATCATTTGCTCCCGTAGATCATATAGCACTATTTTGACCTCGTGCAAGCTGAAATTTTGATTTCCTATTTGTTGGATTTCATTTTCCTCTTTCCAAGCAAAGAATCCACACCCTCCTCCGCCTCCGAGCTGCAAAAATTTCAAAATTGTGTGTATTGGTAACCAGGATAAAGGGTTAAAACGGTAGAAAATTTTCAAAATAGGAAAAATTAGTCCTACCGAAAGGGCAACAATGTCACAAGTTTAGTAATGCATTTTACAAATTAACAACACATTAATTCTACAACAGAAAATTACAACTTAATTATTGTTTTAGCTTAGCATACCTTCCACTGTTGACATCCAAAAAACTTTCGACCGGTGTCCTTCCGAAGATAATGAAGGCTGAGAAAGATCTCATGCTCGAATTAAATGAAGCTGCAGAGATGTTCAGCCGAAGATGATGAAGGCTGATAAAGATCCATTCTTCTAGGGTTGGCAAAGCACGCGACGCAGATGAAGACTAATATGGCATCGACATTCCCTTTTATGATTTAAATGAAATATTGATATGATAGATGTGGAAAAATTAATCTGATTGGGTAAAAAATAGGACACATAAGCACAAAACTGGGATTTTAAAATGCTTAGCCGGTCATGTGGCCCGTATGACCGTTTTTAAGGAGTATGTGTGTGGCTGTGACACTTTATTTAGTAGATGAGTGTATCTGACGATTTCGTAATACTATATGGGCTTATTTGACCCTTTTTCCTTATTAATATAAATACATCATAAAAAATAATTTAACGCTCGAAATCATGTCTCCAACCATATTTGCCAAAACAAGTTTGAAACCATATAATAATATTAATATATATCATTCTATTATTCATCTAATGAATACATCAATGATTCAATAGGAGTAGTTAGTGGCGGATCCACGAAACGGAAGTATTGGGGGCAGAGTAAAAAGAAAAAATGTCGTGCGAGAAGAAAAAGTACTACGTACTTAATAAAATTTATCCGAATAGCAAAAATTTGTAATAAAGTAAACGAGAGTTTCCACGCTAAATAAAGGATATTGCACTTAAAATCCCAAAAAGTTAACCACAATTGTTCACATCTTTTGGAAGAGATCTATTATAGTTTTATTTGTGAAGGTTTCAAATAGATCTCTTTAATTTTCCAGTGTTGAAGATGGTGTTTTTTTTTCAAAAATATGTTCATAAAATCTGATAAAAAAGTCATTAATTTTTTGATAACTAATGTACTCATTTGTCCCTTTAATTATCAAGTGAATATTGATAAACTTTCAAAAATATGTCATTCTTCTAATTATTTTATAGTTTAGCATAAATACACAATATCATGAGAAAATTCCCTGAATGGGATTAAAACATTGATAAACTTCATAAATAGGACTATTATTGTTTTATTCTCAAAATAAGACTCATTCACTTCTATTTTAGTAAGCTTTAATCAACTTATTAATTTAATGACTAGAGATATGTGTTATATGAGGAATTAAACACTTTTAATCTCATTTTTGCACTTTTGTTTATATTTTGGTTGAGCAATTTCTATAACACTTTAACACATATGTAGCAAAAAATTATACAATAAATCAATTATCAATAGACAAATACTCAAATTAATTACTCAACTATCAGTCTACCACGTAGATAATACTTAATGGGCTTAAAAGAGAATGCATGTGAGAAACCTGCACTATTGCAATGCCGAGGAGCCGAACTTGTGCGTGTGTGCTCTTCATTAACACTAGGAAAAGTTCCCGAAATAGGACTAAAACTGTGAAAATTCCAAAATAGGACTGTCGTGAATTTTATTCCCAAAATAGGAGATCGTAAAAATCATCATTGAACTTTAAAATTTACATATTCAGAAACTACATTAAAACCGCTACAAAGTCTGATCAAGAAAAGTTCAATTTGATAAAAATTTGATATATAAAGTAAAAGATTAGGAGTGACCTAAGTTGACTAATGAATAGTGAACGGGAACATTCATCATAAATTTAAAACATTGATTTATAAAAATTGGGAAATTTGTGGGAAGATTTATTAAGGTGGATGAAAATAATATTTCTGTCAAATGGAACCCTTATACGAGGATAATGGTTAATATTGATTTGAATAAGCCATTGAAGAGATAGTTATTCCTTCAATCGGATAAAGGGGAAATTTTGTGTCATATTTAAGTACGAAAAATGGTCAAGTTTTTGTTTTGCCTACAACGTTATTGGTCAGGCAGAAAGGTACTACCCACGCTATCCTGAAGGTACATGCTGGAGTGCAGAGACATTTTTTGGCCTTGAATTGAGAGCTTCAAAAGGACACGAAAATGTGTGTGTGGGGGGGGGGGGGGGGGGGTAAATGGCTGGTCCCGGTTGGTAAAGGGAAAAGGAAAGAAGATGAGGGTGGAATGAGGATGGCAAATTTGGACGGGCAGGGAGGGTTGCAAATTTGGACTGTTCTATGTTTGAGAATGACATGAGGGAGCCAATGACTTTTGGTATCGTTTGGTTAGTGGAAGAAATAGATCTTGGGATACAAATGTTATCTTGGCTCGTTTATTTCTATTACAAGCTATTTCCTTTTCAAAAAAAACTGCAGAATACATAATCAATGTATAAAATATGGAGATCTTTTACTAATTCGAACTGAAAGTAACTGTTTTAGATAATTCATATGTGTGTATTATCACACTCTTAATATATTAATGAATCACTCCTTCAGTCAACTAATATAATATTGAAAAGTATACAAAAACCATTGCTAAAAAGATCACACATGCGGGTATATTAAATACATTAAATATCGGATATGTGTTGAGTGTATTGAAATAATGTACTTTATTACTTAATGTACATATTAAATATTTTAAATAACATGATTTGTAATATATAATTTAGTGGTTGTAAATAGAATTGGCGATAAACAAACAGTTGATGTTTATTCCTCAAGATCCAAAGGCCCAACGCCCTCCTTTGGTTGTCGTTGGAATGCTTTGATAAGATGAGTAAGATGAAAGAGGATAATGAAAAAAGATCCAAATAACCCAACTCTATTTCAATATATGGACTGGTTACAAGAAAGTGCCAAACGGGAATTCCTAACTAGGGAGAGAGCTAAACGCTATTACAAGAGCTATAATATAATGCTTGTGAGTACTAAATTGCTAACCATTTATAATGAAATAAATGTTTGTATTTATACTATGCCATGGGATCCTGGCCTTGGCGGCCCAGTTATCACACTTGGGTCATTTTTCCACCATGGGAGGCTGGCCTTAGTGGAACGTCCCAAAGAAGTTGGCGGGAAACCTCATAATTGGCCGGAAGCGCATTTAATTCAAGAGATATGGAGAATTTTATGGTTGGAGATCATCCATTCAAGTTCGGCCACGTCACCCCTCCCAATCACTCACTCATAATATAAATACCAACATTTATTTCATTGTAAAGAGTTAGCAATTTGGTACTCACTAGCATTATACTATAGCTCTTTTAATAGCGTTTAACTCTCTACCTTGTTCGGAATTCCCGTTCGGCACTTTCATGTAACCAGTTCATATATTGAAACAGAGTTGGGTTATTTGGGTCTTATTGTCATTATCCTCTTGCATCTTACTCATCTTCATCAAAGCATTCCAACGAAGACAAAGGGGGGTGTTGGACCTTTGGATCTTAGGGAATAAACCTCAACACAAACTTTGTAGAACCATTATAAATTTATGATGCTATTTTTGTGTAATAAAATGAAGGGCAAAAATATTTTTGTATGGTGTATTTTTTGTTAATTAATAATTAATTGGTGGTTGTGGATAGCAAAATAGGAGATTTGAATAGAACTACCCATTACTTAGGAGAGCAATTGGAAGCCCACAATTTAATGTATCGAGTGCATTAACTAATAATCTTAAATAATAATTTAATCATCAAATATAAAAAATAATTCATATATAGCTAACGTCACATTTGTAAATTTAAAAAGTCACATCAACGACAGTAAAGTTGCATAATAGCTGTACAGTAGAGTGTAAGACAAATGTTGGGCCGGGTATAACACTAGTAAAAAAAGGGCTTATAGTGACACTAAATTAGTGTCAGTAAACGATTTAATGACACTCTGAAAGTGTCACAGACAAAGGGGGCAAGTGACACAAAATTTAGTGTCACTGGTTGCTAAACAGATCAGTGTCATAAAATTATGACAATAAAATATCACTTAAAATTATGATGTTATAATATCATAACTTTTATTGACACTCTGGTATCATAAAGATATATGATACATTAGTATCATAAGTATATATATATTTCAATATATATATATATATGTAATATAATTTAATACTAATAAATAACCAAAATTCAAAGATTTTTATTTATATCTCAATTTCTCACATAAAATGTGAATGTACATACTACATAATTCATGGGGGCACACCCCGAAACAACAACTAATAATCTAATATACAAGAACAAAACACTAACAAGTCTAACTTTTACACCATACTTCCTAGGGCCTTCACATATCTTCTTTTGTAGACTTGCATAGAATGATACCAGTTCTTATGCTACCAACTTCATTGTTTGAAACCTCGCTTGCTTCTATATATCATACTTCACCTGCAAAGTGGACATTACAGTAATCACACACTAGTTGAACTTAGTACATCTTTCCTATAAATAAGTAAAATTTCAACTTTAAACTACAAAATAAAATAACTAAGCAAAGAATGGAATTACAAAACACAACAAGCTAGCCTTAGTTTTGCTCATAAGAGGGGATGAGAAGAAAATAAAAGAGTTTAAAAACATTTTAAAGATTAGAAAAATCTAAAAAAACAATATTTGAAATGATTTTCGTTGAAATAAAAACTATAGAAGCCTAGGTGTATAACAATAATAATGTAGAACGGTTTTGTTAAATGTTTGAAACAGAAATTAGTAAAGAAACTCCTCAGAAAACCCCAAATTGGAGGAATGTGATGAATTTGGAGGAATCCTCTGCTACCCTTCCCTTCTCCCAAATCCTCTAAAAAAACAAGATCTTAATGGGTATCCCAAACCAATCCATTGTAAACAGAAAGAAGTACATCATAATACCATTCAGTAGTAGTAAGTACTTGGTTGATGACCCCATACACTATTGGACGTCGCATTATTGCACGCCCTTGTCCAGAAAAACCAAAAGACACTAGCTTGACACCCAAATATTCAGTTAGATTAATAATGCTTCTCTTCTCCGGGTTCTAACAGTTCCTTAATTAGTGTTTATTATATTTCTGCCCAACCTGAACTTCAAATATACAAACTTACAGTTCAACCTAGTACAATCATTTTATCAAACACCTAATCTAGCATGTGAATTTTAGTTCATAATACACA